GTAATCATAATCCGTTTTTATTTAAAAATTTTAAAACAATCTTAAATATAATAGTTGCTTTCCATTTACACACAAGTGAAACTGAGTCTTAAGTGAGCTGAGTATTGTAATCCTTCCACCATGGAATGGACTACTCGATTGTATTTAAGTAATATGATCGACAAAAATGAGAGAGAAGGACCTTGGAAGACGACCAATCTCCCTCTTTCTCTCTCTCTCTCTCTCTCTCTCTCTGTCTGTCTGTCTCTCTGTCTGTCTGTCTCTGTCTCTCTCGTTATATCGTTGAGTGGAAAGAGATAAAGATTGGCCGTCTTCCACGGTCCCTCTCTCTCATTTTTGTCGACCATACTATACTTATAGTACTTATAGTACTTATAGTGTTTTCGACTCGAGCGGATTTGCTCCAATTTGGATTGGATAATGTTCTACTATTGGTTGTCGTTACATGTTCCATCAATAGGAGAGCACACAACGTCATTGGCTGCGTTCAGCGGACTCAACAGTTGAGTGAGCGCTCGCTGCTATTGATATATTCTTCCAGATCTAAAATGCTAATTGGATGATCTAAAAGAATACACCAACAACAGCGAGCGCTCATTCAACGGTTGAGTCCGCTGAACGCAGCCATTGATCCAACTAGGTTAGTGCAAACCCGCTCGGGTCGAATACGCTATCAGATATGATCGAGCAGTTCCATTCTGTCTTTGGGTGATACAGAAAAAAATCTCGATATTTCGGTATCGCAATGTATTGTAGCAGAAATATTGGCTATGGTCTATTTGATGCTGTGAATGCTTTGAAGCATTTTTTGATTGATTAGTTAGTAAAATTCTTTTTTCCGATTGGTCAATCGAAAGTTTCGAAGCATTTGTAACATCAAGTGGACCGCACCCATAGATACATTAAAATATCGGTTGGATAATTTGCTCGATATTGCTGATATCGATATGGATCCGATATTTTTATTTTTAGGCGATACGCGCACCGATAAGTAAAAATCGATCTTTTTGTAAAAATAACTATTGGAGATCGTTTTAAAGATATTTCATCGATCCTTTTGAATAATTCTAACGAGAATATTAAAAAATTATTTTTATTGCAACTATTATAGTACTATACATATAGATATTATATATTGCAACTAGTGTTATACATAGATATAATACTAATTGAAATACACATATATACATATATATACATACATACATACATACATACACACACACACGCGCGCGCGTGTGTGTGTATACACAGATTGATTCACATAAAGTGAATTTAATTATATTTGAAAATATACGAAAAAGTAGTTTATATCAATGTTTTCAATACAAAAAAAGATATTATGTAGTGCAAACAATTATTTTAGGAATATATTAATACATAGATTACTTATTTTGTACATATATTTTTCATTAAAAAATTAATTTATTCGTATATGTACAAAAAAAATACAAAAATAATGTACTTAAGATCGTATATAATAAAATATCTTAATTCTATTATCTTAAGTAGCTTGTCCATTACAAATTACATTTTTTGAATTTACTATAACGCAAAACATCATATGCTGCGTTTTACATATCTATAGGGCATCGAAATATCAATTATTAGCAAGGTCCCTTAATTTTTGTAATATGCATTATAAAACTGTTCAAAAGAAATTTTACTTGAAAAATTAATCAGTTGTCAATGTTGTACATATACATATATATATTATTCTAATTAACAATTATAAACTGAAGAACCTATAAACCTAACTTCTTAAGCGTTTCTTCTGTTACTATTAAGCGTTGTTCTAAAACATTATAATAGTAACGTGATAACTGTATTTTATCTAAAACTTTATCTACTTCTAGTGGTACAAAGAATTGATTAGATGACAGTTTATTGGATGATGTTTGATTTTCTGGGACTGTTTGGGACTGTTTAGAACTGTGGTACCGTTGTGAGAATATCTTTCCTGCAGAATCTTTTTGAAAAGGTTCAATGTTCATGTCGATTACTTTAGGTTGAACAATTGGCGATGATGGTCCTCGACAATGTTGCTCTTTCTTTTTTTTCTTTTTTATCATGTTGTCTGATTCTAGATGTGACTTTTTAAAATCATTTGATAAGTACTGAAATAATATATATTATAAAATTGACAGTTTTTGATATGACACATGGCAACATTGTTTTTTTTTTTTTGAATAAAATGCAATCGTTACTTAATCTCTAATTTAACCCTTTATAGCCCAATATGACTTTGAAGTCACATACTAATATATACTCGATATTTTGTCGATTTAATTTTTAAAAACAAAAAATTTTACATAAATTACATAAATATTCTTAAAGCCACGAAAAAAATTTGGGCTATAGAGAGTTAATAGAGCATATTTGTATATTAAGTTATTACGTTTGCTTGGTCCTGCTTCACATATGTATCTTCTTTACATTCATTGCTATATGATTCTTCATTCATATTGTCAAGTTCTTGTTGAATAGATGTTAACTGTGGAATATCACTAACTCGGCCATTTTCAAATAAATTATTAGACTTCCATATTTGAATTCGTCGATCTGAGTCACTAGAAGCGAAGAACTTACCATCATTTGAAAATGCTACGCATGTTACTTTATTAGAACGTTGCTTAAAAGTATAAATTGGACAGCCTTTTAGGAGATCTAAAACCTAGCCGATATTTCTTGTTATTAACAAATACAATAATAACTTATTGAAGCTACTACATAAAATCAAAGTTTTAAACTACCTTCATTGTAGTATCGTCAGAAGCTGTTAACATGAAGTTTCCATTTGGGTGATATTTAATCATATTCACACGTGCTTCATGAACAGCAAAGTGCTGATATATAGAATTTGTTCTTAGATCATATAATTTAACACATCCATTCTTG